TAAGGATAAAATATACTTTACACAAAAGAGCATTCTATGCTTAAATCAATCAAATAGCGTTCAAGAATAAAAATATACTTGAATCAAGGATTCCTTTTTTTCTGTGAAGGACTACTTGTGGACCAAAATCGTTAGGTAGATTGACGCGTAAAAGGAAAAAGTTTTTTTAAGCAATTTTTTAATTTTATCGAACCGTTGAATGAAATACTGCGATAAAAGTCATTTTATCACGCTGGAGAAGGTGAAAAAAGATGAAAGTGTATACATACGATATAAATATAAAATTCCATTAATTTTCGAATGGTTTTATGAACGAAGAAGTTTGAAACTTTTTTGTTACTTGAAAATATATATAGAATGCATGTATGTCGGTAGAATGTAAAACTTTTATTTTTATTCTACGGAAAAGCGCACTATTTTTCATTCAATGATTTATTGAAATATTCCTATATATCTCTTTCCATTTTTATTATTGCGTATAAAATCAACGAGAGGAAGAAGACCACGTTCTATCGGAGAACGTAACTTTTAATTCATTTTTTTTACGCGGATCAACAAACACAACATAAAACATAGACATGAAAATAATAAATAATTTTTATCAACAATAAAACTTTTTCATATTACGGTTTATATATGTACGTTCCTCGATTTTCCACCTAGCCTCATGTTACTTTTTACTCTGATATTAAAGAAGCACTCTCGCGATTTCGAAGAAGCTGATCAGGAAATAACGCTTTTATCTCGCGTTAATATTTTTGCAGCGTTCTTTGAAACATTTATGTATCAATTGCTCGCATTTAGATCTTTGGTGTGTCTACATTACCTTAATGATACACCCATGATGTGGTATGCCGACGCTAATTACACTCTGGAATCATAATTAAGAAGGTCGAGTGATCCCCAGAAACAGATGTCCCCTGCTGATGGAGAGCCATCACGAATAAATTTTTGATGCCACCTGTTGCTGTCGTTGTCTTTCTCCGCTCAAAGTCCTCTCTTCTCTTTACGATCGACGTGTCACGTGTCACTATTAATACAAAGATTATTATGCTAGTTAGGTTGTCATCAACAAAACGCGTCGTGAAAAAATAAATTTCGAATATATCAAATACACCATGGAAGCGTAGAAAAACAAACATCTGGATTCATTATTGAATACATATTTATATGAATTTTATTTATATTATTATATTAATATTTTGTATATATTAGTGTATAAATTTTATTTATATTATTTGTTCAAGAATTAATTAAAATAACAATGGCATTGAAATTATGCTTTATTTAATAAATATATTTGCTGTAAAAAGAAGAGACAAATTTTATTATACAAATTTTACTATAAAAATTCAGATTTTTTCTAATAAAAAAATAAAAAAAGAGTAAAAAAAAAGAGGCTCATCGAAGGGTTAAAGAACTGTAAACAAAAGCAGAAGATAGGTCAATCATGAGGCAACATAAAGACGGTCGTAAAGAAAAGCGTAGATAAAAGGACGATGCGCTACAAAATGAAAACGGTTAATTATGCAGGTGACCGAAATACAGGCGTGGGCGAGAAATGCACTTTTCAGTTTTTTTTTCCTTCAGCGTTGCACGTTGGCGAATCTATGAAAGATCAGTTTGAGCGAACGTTTGATTAAACGTAGCTGGAGTTTGTTCCCGCCCGCATTCAGTTCGTTTCACAGAGCTGACATCGTACTTACATTGTGCGATGACACGGCGCAGAGAGTCGGGTCGTTCATAGAGAAATTCATTATTAAGGTGTTCCTTGAACGTCCCCACAAAGGGATCGTCTTTGCATTACGGGGGAAGACTGCACCGCGAGTTATAGGAAGAGGCGAAAGAGAGTAAACGCGCCTCGACGAAAGCCTATTTTCGTCCGCTTTCAGCGTGCTTATCAGGTATCTCGTCGCCCTATTCATACCGGGAGTGCCCTATCAACGTGAAGCCCTGAAGAAAGCTCGATATAGCCGTCGAGACATAGAGAGAGCCTCTTTTATCTCTCTCTCTCTCTCATAAATATTTAATTCTTAATCATGCTGGATAGCGCGCGCGCCACACGAGTCTGCGATGCTTCTCTTTACATAGGGGGTGAAAAGGGGTTTCTCCGACTGGATGGCAGGGATGAAGGCATTTCTTCACCCCCTTCTTCTTTTCCACGGCGACGATTATCCCGGACCGTCTTCCTATTCTCGCGCCATTAACGTTTTCGCAAAAATAGACAATTGTTTTATTATATCTCGCGCGAAGAGATCCACAGAAAAAAAGGAATCCTTGATTCAAGTATATTTTTATTCTCGAACGCTATTTGATTGATTTAAGCATAAAATGCTCTTTGTAATCACAAATTTTCATTTGCCTTAATAATAAATAAGTTTGTGTGAAATATATCTTATCCTTAAGATATATTCTTGTTTTAAAAATCGCATATTGTAAAAACAAACTTAGTCACATTTTTATAAGTAAATTTCAGCTTCAACCAAGAATATTTTGCACATTGTTTTAAGGATAAATTATCCTTTATCCAAAATTATTTATATTTGACGCTATTATAAGGATAAAATATACTTGAATCAAAGCATATTTGTATTCTTTCAAGGATACTGTTTTTTCTGTGGAAAATTGAAAAATTTCGAAATTACATAATAATATCTTTCGCGCTTCGTGAAATTTATATAATCCGCTTGTCTGTATATATATACAGACTTAAATGTACGTGTAAATGTAAGCTTAATGAAGCGCGCTTTTCATAACGATTATATTCGATGTTCCATGATGCGCTTCTATTATTTTCATGCAAAATAGTCTGAGTTTCTCGCGAGGCTCAGATCGCTTTCATAAACGCTATTGTGCCCGATTATTACGGTAGGATAATAATTTGTTTCAAACTGAAAAATTTATGTGTTTTTGCCTATACATATACATATATATAAGATTAGAGTTTTATATAACACGCTCAAAGTAAATGAAACAGGTTTTCAAAGCACTTTTCAAACGTTTTAGACTAAAGCCACATTTTATTTCTATTTTAAAAACATCTTTTCATATTTCTGTCGTATGCAGATTATTCAATTTTAAATAACGAACGGATGAGTATTGAAATTTATGATATTTTTTCTTATATAATGGAGTCAAAGTTTTATGTACTTATCTTTTTCAACTGCGACGAAAAATATATCTAAGAACAGAAATATTAATTATTATTAACGTTACGTAATTATGATGAAAGTGGATATCGAGAAACGCGATAAGCTGCGAAATCTCAAGTCGTCGTCATCCTGCGCGACATCTTCGAATATGATTTTCCCTGGAAGAAGACAACTGTCCGCGTGTCTATTGCAAGTAGATATGTAGAGAAGAAGAGAGAGAAAACGAGAAAGGAGAGATATAATTCGATCCGACGAGATATGGAGATGCCAGCAACTCCGTGACGATTTAATCCTATATCGGATCCTCTCCGTATCGACAAATATATTCCAATATACAGCCGCTGCTAAACCAGGCTTGAGGATATAGCTATATAGAAGATTATAAATATACATTTACATATACATACAAACGTACATTTTCGAGAGATTTAGAAAGACGCAAATCATATGAAAAACTTTTATCTAGAAGAAGAAATAAAGAAAAATTAGAGATCATGTAACATTTCGAAAACTGAACTATGCCTCTTCATCGATTGCACCTATATTTTATTTATTTTCAATATTTTAACGCATTAAATTTCAAACTGCGAATATTTTCAATATGAAATTATTATATAATTGATTATACATTTTTTATATATGTATAGTACTTATATTGAAATAAAAATGCAAATTATCTACAAAATTTCTACAAATCACAGTATTACAAGCTTTGTATTTGATGCTTATAAAAGCATTAGATTTAGATAATTAAAAAAAAATATTACAAAAAATGTATATATACTATATATATAATATAATTTATACATATAATTTGCATATAAGTTTATATCAGATTCATTATATATATATATATATATATATATATATATATATATATATAAATTGTTTCGCGTAAAATATTGCAAAAATTTACGGACGGATAAATGAAATAAAACGAGATATATTGAAAGTTTTAGATTGCATGCATGTTAAAATGTCTTAATGTGAAATTTATTGCAACGAACTCAGCTGTGAAACAGCACATTAAACTGCGTTTTCTTCATTTTCGCATATCCGACGATTAGCTTATACGCGCTGCAAATTCAATATTCTCTCCCTGCTGAAGCCATAATTATCCAATACACAGAACGCGGAACAGAGTGTGGTAGGTGTCGGGCTAGTGCCCTGCTATGAACATAACAGCCCTTTTCCCTCCCTCTTCCTGCCTCTCTGGTAACGTCCGCTGGTAATTTACCTGCAATTTTGCTGGGGGTGCGCGCAAAACTTCGTTTTGCGGTTAAATCGCTTCGTAATACCATCAACAAGTATTAAGCATGCAGGCTTCGTTAAGTCCTTCAGAACACTTCGCAGAATTTCTTCGCCTTTGCAGGATCCAGAGGGATAGAAGGATAAAGTTCGAGAGCCACAGACCGTAAAATTGACCAAACTTGTCGAACCATCGATGTATATTCGTTAATTTAGCATAACGGCCATAATCTCTTACTAAACTCGTATGGTTCCTACTTTGAGAACAAGAGATTGCACACACACATACATGTATATACCTACGTATATGTATATAGGGTAAGAAGGATGAGTATGAGGCGTAGCGAGAGAAGAGGATGGGACGGCAAGAGTAAGATGCACCTAGACGTTGCAGCGGATGCACCCTCACTTAATTACGCCTCTATGTAAATTATACGGGCATTGTTACTCAGGAGAGTGTTTGCGCTCTGCGTTTAAATCGCATGAATCGAAGAGACAGGGATGGAATTTTCAGATTTCCAGACTTGAAGACTTTCTCGCTGTACAAAATGCATCATATAATAATTAAAATTTTTATTAACTAAATTTAATAACAATGCTTATTTTACCTTAAAATATATGAGTGGTAGAAAAGTGAGTCTTCTCGATTATATATAGCATATCTTCAACAGAAGTCAACATGATGTTACAGGATAAAATGAAGCAATTGAGATTTCTATGGATAAATACATATATAAAACGCAACGCAACGCAATGCAATAATTTTTTCCCTTTAAAACTATAGTGTCATAATTATCAATATTATTACTCGAAAATCATTGCATCGACACATTTATCTGATGGCCTCAATTGTTTCGCTTTATCTTATGTCAACAAAAATAAGCTCTGTATAAATAACGTCGTACAAAAAATTACGTCAACCGTGTTTCCCAGAGCCGGTGTTCTTTTGTGTCAACCACGCTGGGTCGATGACAGACAAACCGCGAAGGTAACATTTTCCGGTGGCTACGACCTCTGTGAACAGCAGCAATGGCAGCTTCGTACCGTGCAACGTCGAAGAAGGATGTATGGTTACCGGCTGCTTCGAGTACACCTATGTCGAATGCGTAATAAAATTATGCGAGATTCTCTTTACTTGTTTGCCGCTGTAGAAAATTCGTACGAGACAAGGATACTGACAGGAGCTAATGAAGAGGAACATGGAGGCAAAAACTTGAGGTAGCAAGAGAAATATGAAGGTCAGAGAGCTGGTAGTAGTTGATGTAGTACATATAAGAAATATAAAGAAATTCGTTCACATAATAAAATCGCTTCTAAATATATTTTGCATAGAATCATGAAAATTAATTATTAATCTTAATACCACAAAAATTCTGATTTTACTTATATATTTATAATATAAAATTGCAATGTGAATAAAATAAATTAAGATAGGGATAGGAAAAAGGATTAATATTTTATGCAATACTGTGATAGGGACAATATATACAACTAAAGAAAAATATAGAATATAAAAATAATGCTGTGAGCAACATTTACTTACCGTGACGTATGTCTGATCCCTCCGTAGCTCCGCGAGATTCTCGTAAAGTCCCTCGAGGAAAGCTTTTCGAAGCTGCTTTGTATTCGGTCCGCAGCTCGCCTTCTCCAAATTCGCACGTTCCGCCAACGCCGCAAGCTGTTGCCTTACTTCCGACGCGTACTCCAGATTCCGATGGTGCAAAAAGTTCTCGTGGCACCATACTTTTTTCGTTGTAACATTTCGATATGCTCGAAATACATTCAACAACGTTACGTGATCTCCTTCAGGCGAAGCGAATCTGAAAATCCCCAATGAGTCGACAACATTAAATAATGATTTACTTAGTCAATTTAGCGAACTGTAATAGAAAGTGCATTTTATTACAAATTCTCTATAAGGAATAGCAGTCATAAAGATTTCATCTTGATTTTATTTTTCAAGCAGGCAATAAATAAATCGTGCAAGCAAGAACCGTACCGTGAGCGTGTATTGTGAGCTTGTTCCCTCTTCGTAGGTGGATCCATAAAAATCGATTCTCCCGATAGTAAAGCAATAACCGTCAGTGCTTCTTCCAGACACCTGTGTTCCACCGACGCGAGAATCACTTTGGTAAATCGAGGATCTAACGGAAATAATGACATCGTACGACCGAGTGTAGTCAGCTGCGGTGGAGATCCTTTTAAAAAGATATAAGAATTTTATCGTAATGTTTCGATCGAAATGACTCCCGTTATTTGCATCATGCTAATATAAAGTTATTTTACAAATAATTTATTTTACAAACAATCACTAATTAATAGTTTTCTTTTATATCCTATCTTAATTTTAATATGATGAATCTCTCACTATAATATTTTATATTATAAATAAAAAAAAATCAACAGCGTTTTGTGAAATTTATATAAATAAAATTTAATGCATCTTTTGATATGTATACATATCTAAGTAGAATAATAGAACTGTTACTTTTTAACAAATAATATTTAAGTATATTCTATTGCAAATAAATATGCAAATACAGAAAAATTCGTACCTTTAACTGCGCCTAGCTTTTCTAAACATTTCACAGCCACATCTACGCCTTCCTTGGACGGTTTGTCCATGAAATCGAAGGTGGTAATATCAACGCCAATAGCGAGCAGTTGAATAGCAACTCCCGCGAGAGAACATCTTTGAATTTCTGGCACCGGCATGTCCTTCATTTTCTCGAATTCTTCTCGGGTGTAAGCTCTGTAACATTTGCCTGGAGATTCTCGAGCGGCTCTGCCCGTCCTTTGCCAAGCTTGAGCTTGTGAGATTTTCTCAACTCTCAACATGTCTAATCCCGTCATTGGATGATGAGTTCGTGCTTTGACAACACCAGTGTCGATCACATGGCGAATTCCTATATTAAAATTTTTTTATTAAATTCTCAGATCAATTTAAAAATTGAACATCCGCAAGCGTAATATAATTAATGCTTAAGCAGGCGTAATAATTTGTAACATAGAATTTTGCAATATATTGATTTCTATTATCGTTCGAAAACACTTTGTAAGGTTTTTGAAAATAAATTATCTTTATTCTTCTTATAATTTTAAAATATTATTTGATATTTATAAAAATATTTATATTATTTTTCATATTTTATTTAAAGAAATAAAAGAAACAAAGCATATATACGTACCACCAATCGTAACGGATGTTTCAGCGACGTTTGTTGCTAATACTAATTTCCGCATTCCCTGTGGCGAAGGTTTGAAGGCTTCCAATTGCTGGTGAGTAGGCAGCGCTGCGTATAAGGGAAAAACTTTTAGAGAAGGATACTTCTCTCCATTCAATTGTTTAGCCACTTGTCGAGCGGCTACCGCGGCTGCTTCAATTTCTTCTTGACCAGTCAGAAAAATTAAAATATCTTCACTGGAAAATAAAAAACTAAATAATACCAATAATATTGTTATACAATTATGTATTCTCGTGTTTTCACAAGCTTCTAATAATTTATTCTTAAATAGACATTTTTATTTACATAACGTATATTTCATATTTTATGTTAAAATTACAAGTATAATACTTACTTTGCAGGTTCCTGACGATGAATTTGAAACGCCGTGACTAGAGCGGCAAATGCATAGTCTTGCTGTGTGGAAACTGCATGAAAAATTCTCACGGGATGTTGACGACCCTCCAGATACAATGCTGATGCTTGAAAGTACTCTTTGAATTTATTAGGATCCATCGTGGCTGACATAATCAGAAGTTTCAACGGCAGTAGGTTCTTCAACTTTCGCAAATTTTGTGCTCGTCTCGTCACTCCAAACAGAACGTCGGTCTGTACAGATCGCTCGTGAGCTTCGTCAAGTATCACTACCTGTCGCAAATTTGATAAACTTTATTATTATGTGTTCTATAGTAATAAAACAAATTATAAATAATTACATCATTAAATAGCAAAAGGAAAAGTGCATAAAAATGCTGATATAAAAATTCTTTAATAAATTTAGTATGATTTTTTCTTCATTAATATTTCATTGACAGTTGTTTATCTTTTTCAAATATCAATAAAATATCAATAATTCCAATTTCATTATCATTTACTAAAATATTAGAGTATTTAAATTTTATCTTTAAGTAAATTAAATAGATAGAATGGACTGACTATTATATATTTTCTATTTTTTTGAGTAAATTAAAAAATAGGTATTAATAGATATAAAATAGATATGAAGCAATGCTCAAATATCTCTAATCAATGAGTAAATTATTTCAGTTCTAATTAGAAAACATCAAGAAACTTATCAAAATCGTTTCATTATCTATTATCGATTCTTTAAATATACATTTATGTATACAGTAATAATTCTATATAATATACCGAATAATCTGACAGGATCTCATCGGTCATCGCTTCTCGCACCATCATACCGTCCGTCAGATATTTGATCTTCGTGTGCGAGGAGGTGCAATCCTCGAAACGTACGCAGTAACCCACCAATTTTCCTGGCTTGGTTCCTTGCTCTTGAGCGACACGGCGCGCTATACTAACCGCCGCTATCCTGCGTGGTTGCGTGATACCGATGCAGCCGGACGAACCGGCTATGCCAGCCTGGAGCAACAACTGCGGAATCTGCGTAGTCTTACCGCTGCCGGTTTCGCCAATTATAATTAGAGTATTGTGCCGCCGTATCTCTTCCAATAATCTGGAAACCCACAAATATCGTTAATTTCTCTTAAAAAGAGACAATAATTTGGGGATAAATAGAAGATAATATTGCAAATAATAATATTGTATATAATAATAGAATATTACAATACATGTAAAATGTGTGTTCCATGTTCATTAATAAAATACTTATTTTTTTATTGCAGACAAACAATTAATATCTTTATATGTTATGTTATATGTATACATGCGCCTTGTATAATATAAATTAGAAAACGTTTACATGTAAATATATTGTGTAAAAATTTAAAAAAGTATGTCAAAACATATATACACATATCATATATGTATGATTACAATATGATATACAGGATGTTTAAAAAATGGAAATTAATTGCTTAATCAAACATCCTGTATATCATAAATGTATGATTACAATATAATATACAGGATGTTTAAGAAAAATGAAAATTAATCGCTCGCGAGGTGATTGGGAATCTAAAAACGAAAAAATTGATATAAATATAGATTCGGAAATGCGTTAATTTTGGAGTAACATCATTTTAAAAATTTCGAATTGCTTTTTTTCGATTTTTTATCAAAATTGAAAGAAGAGGTTTTATGAATTATATAAAATAATTAAATCTAACATTATATTATATAACGTAATTAAAGTCAAATAAAATTGCAGACTACTTTAGTAGTATCTAAGAAGCATCACGTGCATCCCACAATTTTTATTTAACTTTAATTATATTATAAAATTCATAAAAATCATCTTTCCTTTCATTTTAGAAAAAGAAATCGAAAACAAAGCAATTTGAAATTTCAAGTACCTCTCGAGTGATTGATTTACACTTTCAACACACCTTATATATACATGCAGAATAGTTTCCTCTAAAAATAATTTAAATATTGCTATCTCAAAAGGAAAATATATTCATAGAAATAAATTATAATGCTATTTGTTTGTTTATAGAATTATAAATTGTTTCATATATGTGCAATATATATTACTATAAATTTAATATTCTGTTAAAAATTAAAAATTTTAGAATTTTGATCGACATTTTTAAAGTTAATGATTTTTTAAAAGCTAGTTCTAAGTTATTTTAACGAATTGCATCGATATTACTGATCTGATATGCAAAATTATCAGTGCTCACGTGCGAGCATTTTACACCTTATCAAATATGCATTGAAATTTTACCCTCTCACTCTCTCTTTCTTTTTTTATTGACTTTATACATATAAACGCTTGTAAAACCTCATTCTTCCATTTTGAAACATCTTTCATTCAACACCGCGTATACACATATGAAATATATGTATATATATCAAAGAAAAGGAACGGATGTTTTTACCTTTTACGATGCATGTAGACGGGCAATGACTTTCTTTGCTGATGCAAACTAAAGTTTGATTTGTCGTTGCTCTTTATTACATTCGAAGAGTTGTTGCACGTGTTGTTTTCATTCGTTATTTTTTGCACTTTGTTGGCCTTTTCGCGGAACACAACAGTGTTGGGCCGCTTTAAATTTATCTTGGACGACTTCCCCATCACGTTGTACTTAGGATCCGCATCGTCGTGGACCCTCATCTCGCAAACTCCTCGTATGCGAATATGCGAAATATTCGCAGCACAATACCAGCCGAATACCAAACACGTGCTACGCCACAGATTAATAGACAGATCGCCAAAGGTCTGGATGAAGGAGAGACCAGTATTTCTCACTGATTTCAGCGCCATATCGTAGTAGTGGTCAATGCAGTAACTATTAATACGTTCCCAAGATAAGAGCGTCTCATGCTCATGAACTCATCCGGCGGCATGTACGAGATTTATCTTTTCGTAGCGTTCGCGTATTTCGGAAAGGACAGAATTTTATGATGTTATAAATAAATAAATAAATAAATAAATAAAATATTAACCTGACCTATTATAATTATTTTTTAATAAATGTTTCATTATTATTATCATCTAAGTCTAAGTCGTTTAATTAATTTTTAGTTTTTTAATAATTAATTTAATTTATTCTAATCATTTTAATATGTGAAAAATACTAATACGTATACAATATAAGAGTTTTAACAAGGCTCTGTAATATAAATATAAATTTAACGTATAAGACGGGCAACAAGAGCCAAATCGCGGATGACAATGCGTTATCCTAACGAAACTAAATAATTTTTCGTTAGAATTAAATACCGGTGCACAAGGCACCAAATTTTTACTTGGACACGGCCAAGATTTTAAATATGAAATAATCTCATATTTTGAGATTTAATTTCAATACCCCTTTTAACCCCCCTACGGAAAATAAATAAATGAATGCAAGAGAAAAATATAGATCCGAAAATCGCTGAATCGGGAATCGAACCCGAGACCTTTCGCTTGCCGGGCGACTGCTCTTCCAGCTGAGCTATTCAGATCCTTTCGATTCTATACTTTTCTCTGTTATATATATTAATGTTGGTAAACAAACGCATTTTTTAAGCCAGCGTGTATCAAATATAAGAGTTTTAACAAGGCTCTGTAATATAAATATAAATTTAACGTATAAGACGGGCAACAAGAGCCAAATCGCGGATGACAATGCGTTATCCTAACGAAACTAAATAATTTTTCGTTAGAATTAAATACCGGTGCACAAGGCACCAAATTTTTACTTGGACACGGCCAAGATTTTAAATATGAAATAATCTCATATTTTGAGATTTAATTTCAATACCCCTTTTAACCCCCCTACGGAAAATAAATAAATGAATGCAAGAGAAAAATATAGATCCGAAAATCGCTGAATCGGGAATCGAACCCGAGACCTTTCGCTTGCCGGGCGACTGCTCTTCCAGCTGAGCTATTCAGATCCTTTCGATTCTATACTTTTCTCTGTTATATATATTAATGTTGGTAAACAAACGCATTTTTTAAGCCAGCGTGTATCAAATATAAGAGTTTTAACAAGGCTCTGTAATATAAATATAAATTTAACGTATAAGACGGGCAACAAGAGCCAAATCGCGGATGACAATGCGTTATCCTAACGAAACTAAATAATTTTTCGTTAGAATTAAATACCGGTGCACAAGGCACCAAATTTTTACTTGGACACGGCCAAGATTTTAAATATGAAATAATCTCATATTTTGAGATTTAATTTCAATACCCCTTTTAACCCCCCTACGGAAAATAAATAAATGAATGCAAGAGAAAAATATAGATCCGAAAATCGCTGAATCGGGAATCGAACCCGAGACCTTTCGCTTGCCGGGCGACTGCTCTTCCAGCTGAGCTATTCAGATCCTTTCGATTCTATACTTTTCTCTGTTATATATATTAATGTTGGTAAACAAACGCATTTTTTAAGCCAGCGTGTATCAAATATAAGAGTTTTAACAAGGCTCTGTAATATAAATATAAATTTAACGTATAAGACGGGCAACAAGAGCCAAATCGCGGATGACAATGCGTTATCCTAACGAAACTAAATAATTTTTCGTTAGAATTAAATACCGGTGCACAAGGCACCAAATTTTTACTTGGACACGGCCAAGATTTTAAATATGAAATAATCTCATATTTTGAGATTTAATTTCAATACCCCTTTTAACCCCCCTACGGAAAATAAATAAATGAATGCAAGAGAAAAATATAGATCCGAAAATCGCTGAATCGGGAATCGAACCCGAGACCTTTCGCTTGCCGGGCGACTGCTCTTCCAGCTGAGCTATTCAGATCCTTTCGATTCTATACTTTTCTCTGTTATATATATTAATGTTGGTAAACAAACGCATTTTTTAAGCCAGCGTGTATCAAATATAAGAGTTTTAACAAGGCTCTGTAATATAAATATAAATTTAACGTATAAGACGGGCAACAAGAGCCAAATCGCGGATGACAATGCGTTATCCTAACGAAACTAAATAATTTTTCGTTAGAATTAAATACCGGTGCACAAGGCACCAAATTTTTACTTGGACACGGCCAAGATTTTAAATATGAAATAATCTCATATTTTGAGATTTAATTTCAATACCCCTTTTAACCCCCCTACGGAAAATAAATAAATGAATGCAAGAGAAAAATATAGATCCGAAAATCGCTGAATCGGGAATCGAACCCGAGACCTTTCGCTTGCCGGGCGACTGCTCTTCCAGCTGAGCTATTCAGATCCTTTCGATTCTATACTTTTCTCTGTTATATATATTAATGTTGGTAAACAAACGCATTTTTTAAGCCAGCGTGTATCAAATATAAGAGTTTTAACAAGGCTCTGTAATATAAATATAAATTTAACGTATAAGACGGGCAACAAGAGCCAAATCGCGGATGACAATGCGTTATCCTAACGAAACTAAATAATTTTTCGTTAGAATTAAATACCGGTGCACAAGGCACCAAATTTTTACTTGGACACGGCCAAGATTTTAAATATGAAATAATCTCATATTTTGAGATTTAATTTCAATACCCCTTTTAACCCCCCTACGGAAAATAAATAAATGAATGCAAGAGAAAAATATAGATCCGAAAATCGCTGAATCGGGAATCGAACCCGAGACCTTTCGCTTGCCGGGCGACTGCTCTTCCAGCTGAGCTATTCAGATCCTTTCGATTCTATACTTTTCTCTGTTATATATATTAATGTTGGTAAACAAACGCATTTTTTAAGCCAGCGTGTATCAAATATAAGAGTTTTAACAAGGCTCTGTAATATAAATATAAATTTAACGTATAAGACGGGCAACAAGAGCCAAATCGCGGATGACAATGCGTTATCCTAATTATTTAGTTTCGTTAGGATAACGCATTGTCATCCGCGATTTGGCTCTTGTTGCCCGTCTTATACGTTAAATTTATATTTATATTACAGAGCCTTGTTAAAACTCTTATATTTGATACACGCTGGCTTAAAAAATGCGTTTGTTTACCAACATTAATATATATAACAGAGAAAAGTATAGAATCGAAAGGATCTGAATAGCTCAGCTGGAAGAGCAGTCGCCCGGCAAGCGAAAGGTCTCGGGTTCGATTCCCGATTCAGCGATTTTCGGATCTATATTTTTCTCTTGCATTCATTTATTTATTTTCCGTAGGGGGGTTAAAGGGGTATTGAAATTAAATCTCAAAATATGAGATTATTTCATATTTAAAATCTTGGCCGTGTCCAAGTAAAAATTTGGTGCCTTGTGCACCGGTATTTAATTCTAACGAAAAATTATTTAGTTTCGTTAGGATAACGCATTGTCATCCGCGATTTGGCTCTTGTTGCCCGTCTTATACGTTAAATTTATACTAATACGTATACGTTTTATAATGAATTAATATATTTTGAGAGTCGAATTATATATTTTTAATAATATAAAAGTGTTCAAAATTATATTTGACTTTTAATTTTAATTATTTTAGCAAAGAGTTCCGAAATCTCTTACACACATAATAGGAATTTTGTTCATCCATATAATTCGCAATTAAGTATATATGTTAATTATTAATTTTAATAAAATACAAAATTAAAATTAAAGGTCAAATATAATTTTTGAACATAAATATATTTAATTCGTTATAAACGTATACCCGTGATAGTATTTTTCTCGTACAAATAACTAGAATAAATTAAATTACTCATAAAAAATAAAAAAATAATTAAATAATTTATATAAATTTAACGTATAAGACGGGCAACAAGAGCCAAATCGCGGATGACAATGCGTTATCCTAACGAAACTAAATAATTTTTCGTTAGAATTAAATACCGGTGCACAAGGCACCAAATTTTACTTGGACACGGCCAAGATTTTAAATATGAAATAATCTCATATTTTGAGATTTAATTTCAATACCCCTTTAACCCCCCTACGGAAAATAAATAAATGAATGCAAGAGAAAAATATAGATCCGAAAATCGCTGAATCGGGAATCGAACCCGAGACCTTTCACTTGCCGGGCGACTGCTCTTCCAGCTGAGCTATTCAGATCCTTTCGATTCTATACTTTTCTCTGTTATATATATTAATGTTGGTAAACAAACGCATTTTTTAAGCCAGCGTGTATCAAATATAAGAGTTTTAACAAGGCTCTGTAATATAAATATAAATTTAACGTATAAGACGGGCAACAAGAGCCAAATCGCGGATGACAATGCGTTATCCTAACGAAACTAAATAATTTTTCGTTAGAATTAAATACCGGTGCACAAGGCACCAAATTTTTACTTGGACACGGCCAAGATTTTAAATATGAAATAATCTCATATTTTGAGATTTAATTTCAATACCCCTTTAACCCCCCTACGGAAAATAAATAAATGAATGCAAGAGAAAAATATAGATCCGAAAATCGCTGAATCGGGAATCGAACCCGAGACCTTTCGCTTGCCGGGCGACTGCTCTTCCAGCTGAGCTATTCAGATCCTTTCGATTCTATACTTTTCTCTGTTATATATATTAATGTTGGTAAACAAACGCATTTTTTAAGCCAGCGTGTATCAAATATAAGAGTTTTAACAAGGCTCTGTAATATAAATATAAATTTAACGTATAAGACGGGCAACAAGAGCCAAATCGCGGATGACAATGCGTTATCCTAACGAAACTAAATAATTTTTCGTTAGAATTAAATACCGGTGCACAAGGCACCAAATTTTTACTTGGACACGGCCAAGATTTTAAATATGAAATAATCTCATATTTTGAGATT